GCGCCGCCTCCGCCGAGCCGAGCGACCGGGGCTGCGGAAGCGACTCGGGCTGCGTGGACACGGGCGCCCCGGAGCCCGCGAGGACCCTGGGGGCCCCGGGCTGGAGGAAGAGCCAAGCGCCCGGGCAGCCCGCGGGACTGGCACTCACCGGGCCCCTCGATCCTCAGACTTTGCAACAGCAGCTGGAAGAGGAGGAGGGGGAAGCTGGGGACCGAAACGAGGGAGGGGATGAACAGCAGGAGGCGCCCCCCGGCGCGGAGCCGGAGCCCAGGACCCGCGTGGGGGCCCCGGACCGACTGGTCCTGGACGTGCTGGGTCAGCGGCGCCCGCTCCCCGCCAAGAGACAAGTCTTCTGCTCCGTGTTCTGCGTGGAGAACGACCTGCCCGAGGTCCCCACCGCCGAGCAGCTCTCCCCGCCCGGGTTACCATCTCGGGCTTCGCCGGTGACCAACCCTCCCAGCACCCCCTCCTCCTTCCCCAGCCCCCGGCTGTCCCTCCCAGCGGACCCCCTGTCCCCCGACGGCGGCAGCATCGAGCTGGAGTTCTACCTGGCGCCCGAGCCCTTCTCCGTGCCCAGCCTGTTGGGAGCTCCACCCTACTCTGGCCTGGGGGGAGTAGGGGATCCCTATGCGCCCCTCATGGTGCTGATGTGCCGGGTGTGCCTGGAGGACAAGCCCATCAAGCCCTTGCCCTGCTGCAAGAAGGCCGTGTGCGAGGAATGCCTCAAAGTCTACCTGAGCTCCCAGGTAACTTCACCCCGCTGTCCCCTCCTCGGTTCCCCGTGCAGGGTTCCAAATCCCAGGCGAGGAAGTCCGGCTAGCCAGCTGCCTGCTCACAGGAAGAGGCGATGAGACACCCTTATCCAGGAACTCTATCAGTTTCTCACTTGGTTGTTGTCGTTATGATATTATTTAAGTGTGTTTGGTCCTCACGGGTAACTTGATGGGCATTGAACTCTGCGTGAGCTTCAAGCTTTGGTTGGCAACTGTGGAAGGAGCAGGGTACAATGCATTGCCCTCTGATTATTTCTTTTACTAGATTGCAGGCAAGAGTGCCTGATAGGCCTGGTATCCCAGAAACTAACAAATAGTGGGCATAAAATGAGTATAGGTGTTGAATTGGTGAAGAGAAGGGCTGGGATTCATATATCGGGGCCATGGTACCTCAATTTTTTTATTTTTCTCCATTTATATATTCCAGAAAAGTGCGATTTATTTATTTATTTACTCCCTGGCCCTTGCCCACTTTCCAGTTTTCCTTTTCCACCATGAGGCTGAAGTACTTTTCCTCACTGAAGTTTTATGCCAGCACAGTACTTTATTTCTCTAAGAGGGAACAAAACAGAAAGAGCAGAACAAAGCACAGCAAGGCTAAGAGGTTTCTCACAAGCAGCTGGGGAAACTTTCTTCCTCAGCGGCTTCTTTGCAAGCTTGTTTTTTCTTGGAAAGCTTAAGAGTGCACCAGACCAGCTCTCCCTCGCTGATGGTAAATGCGTTCCTCCAGCAGTTTTCAATCTGTTATGTTTCTGCCAGTGTTTTGCACAATCTAGAATGCCCTTTGATCCCAAGTCTGATTGTCCTAGGCCTATTCATCTTTCAAAACCTGGGCTGTTCAGGTGCCAACCTTTCTGTGAAGCCTTACCTCACCCTCCAGGCCACTGTTTATATCCTTTCCAAATACTTCTGTGTGCCTGACGTGCATTGAAGTTGTTTTTTATGTGTCTGTCTTGCCAGACTGTATGGACAATGTCTTATAGTCCCTGTATCTGGTAATTTCATGTCGAGTCCTTTTCCGGTAATAGTAGAATAGTTTTAATAACATTGGCTGAAGCAAACTGAGCAGGATTCCACACCGTGCGGTTCCTCTGTGTTTTGTGGCTAACCCATGCTTGTGTTGAGCCTGAAAGTATGTACTGTGCCCAAATGGAAATGCAAAGGGAAACTTAGACAGAATGGAATGTTACACAAACAGTGACTTGGCCAAGATGGTTGAGATTATCCAAACTGCCTATAAGAGACTATGACGTTTCTTTCATGCTTTATCCACAAACAGATACTTAAAACAGGAGGCGTGTCTGCTGCTCATTGTGGTAGTTTCTATGACATCACTGTCAAACAGATATTGGTGCCATCCATGTGCAGAGCCCTGTGGTGGGATTCAGACATTCCCAAGATGTGGGCCCTGCTCCAAGGACGTCTCTGTGAAAGCAGATGTGCACACGAGAACAATATGAGGTAGCATGTAGTTCGATGTAAACAGAGTCACAATCTCAGGTAGAGCTTAATGTTAAACACTGGATACAAATACAGTGGGTTTATAAGTTCAAAGGAGGTAGTCACTGTGGGTTGGGATAATCATTGCAGTTTGATTTCCTTGAGGTGGGCCCTTTCCCTAAAGCAGATTTTTTTTTCCCCTCTGTAAGTTAGTTGTAGGAAATCAATGTTTTGATCTCCAGTGGAGAAGAGAAGGAATGGGGAGTGGGCGGGGCAAAGTGAGGAAGTGGCATGGCCACACATAACCACTACGAACCCCTCTGAGGTGACACAGTATCTGAAGGTGGTCTGCAGTGTTTTTGATTGTATGTATGTTTCTGACCTTCTTCCAAAGTATTTGACAGAACTTTTAATATAGAGAAATATTCTTTATTTAAAATAATAACAACAAAAAGATGAGTCATGTAGGCCAGGCATGCTTCCACCACAGCGCTTTTGTATTTATTGATCCTCGTGCCTTGAATATCTCCCTTGATGCCATCCCTTTGCTTGCTTACTCCTCCCGCTTCTCGCTTTCAGGTCTGTATGCAGATGTCACCCATAGGGCCTTCACTGACCATTCTGTTGCAAGTTGAGCCTCACCCCACACTCCCGATCTCCTTTCATGCTTTTTATTTTCTCCATAGTGCTAGCTTACTCTGTCTTATACTTAAGTAATTTCCATGAAAACAGGAGTTTGCACATGATTTGTTCACTACTGTATCTTTAGCACCTAGAACGTTGTCTGACGTATAACAGACGCTCAACTAATAGTTATTGAATTTATGAAGAACTGAGCGGCAGAGAAGATGAGATTACCCCCAGAAACCACAGCTAGGACGTGGTGTTCTGCTTGGGCACTAAATTCTACTCTGAGCTTCTTGATGTTTAAGACAAAAGACAAAGACTTAAAGCAGACAAAAATAACAGATTTGCTAAGTTTGTTATTAAACTTAGAATTAAAGAGTTTTTAGACAAACTCAGCTGATACAGAAACGGCATTTTTTTCAGTTGGATAAATATATGTAATGTAATGTTTTTGATCTGTGTTAATTCTAAGGTCCCTTCTACTCGAAGGGTCTGTGTTTCCATGTCACTTAACCTCTCTGTGCCTTAATTTCCTCCTCAGTGAAGTGGAATTGCAGCGTGATCTGTAATGACACACCAGTTCTAAAGCAAACACGATCAACCTGCCGAGTTGTTTTATTGCCTTACTGAACCAGATCAAAGGGGCGTAGCGAGTGCTTTCTCTCTCATTTTATAAGGTGTCTTAGGTTTGACAGAAGCCAATCTCTCAAGCCTGAACTTGCAGGGCTCTCAAGACCCTTTAAAATAAAATGATATATTTGACATAAAAAGTTATTAGTGAATTTTTTTCACCACTTTTTGGAGTTTGTGCCAAATAGTGCATTATTTAACATCATTTAAGAAAATAAAGCAGAGTCCCTATTAAGCATTTTATACAAACATTAAAAATGCATGCTAAATGTGAGTTGGAATATTGCCTGGTTAAATTATCATTCTTCTAAAAAGGAGATGCTGAGTTCTTTGAAAGAAGGTATGAACTTGGAAGACAGGAGCGAGGAGTTTTAGATGATGTCTTATTTCCATTAGTGCCACGGACTGAATATGTGGCAAAGGCCGATGGGCAGGAGTCATCATTATTTCAGACATAGCCGATTAGGGGTGATTTAAATACCTCCATACTGTGGTTTACAAATAGTAGTTTTATTTTTCAGAACGTAATTCTCCAGTTTTCACTGTGACTGGGGCTGCGGGGAACACTGCTTAGTGGATGACTTTACAGTGCAATAAGTACCATCCAGTTTCCAATTGCCATGGTGAACGGTTGCCCTGATAAATTATAATCTTTGGCACTATATGGGCGTTGACTTAGAGGCTCTAGGGCATCATGACAGGGATAGTGGGAGTTACATTGGTTTATATTGGCGGGGTACATAAATCTTTGGTACATCAATTTTAGAAGTGCGTTTCCCAGCCACCTATGCATGCATGGTTGACTATGGCTGAAGCATACAGTCTCAGCGATGTCTGAGTCTCCTGCAGGTCACTAAGCCATTATAATGTTAACCTTCTCAGCTGGCTTGGCCTTTACCACATTTTCCTAGGCGGAAAGATTGTTGCCTTCTTTGTTTCATAGAATGATTTTGTGCTCATTTCAGAAATCCTCCACACATATCTTTCCTTTATGATGTTGGTTTTAGACAATAAAATGTTATGATATGAAATATTAATATTTAGTACTTTAGATAAAGAAAGGAGAGAATTGGGCATGCTAAGGGCTTTCTAAAGGTAACAGCTGTTGCGGCTTTCATCACTCTGCTTCAAAGTGCTGGCGATTGGCAGATGCATATGAGTTGGACCGTATACACCTGTCAAATGAGTATTAATAGAGACAGGCAACGCATTTTTTCTACAGATTGCGAAGAAAACAGCTGCTAGATGGTGATGTCCTAAAATGACTGTGTACTATGGTCACCCTAGAATCGTGACCTAGGGGTGAAAGCTTATGTATCTTATTATTAAACTCTGAGTCATCCAACCCTTTATGGGTAAAAGTGTAACCTACTTTTTTTTCCTTTAAACCCTAAAGCAACCTGTGTATTTTTAGAAACTATCGCATTCAATATGGAGTTTGAACGCAGCCACCTTCACACAGGTGAATTTACAGATCCTGTCAGGCCAAGTGTGATTTTGGTAGTCCTGAAAATGTGAAGAATAATATGAGACTGAAATCTGTTAAATCACGCTACAAATTTGAAAAGTGAGAATTAAGGCACATGTAAGCTTATTCTTTTGTGTACAGAATTTGCATGTGTGTGTGCACACAGGCACGTGTATTTGGGGGTGTGATAACATTTGCTTTCACACCTTACTGACTCATGCCTTTATTTTCCTCTTCTGTCTCTTTAATATCTCTTTAATAATTTCTTCATTTCTCTTTAATAATTTCTTTCTTTTTTCTCTGACTTTGCAAAATCTGATTGTAACTGGCATTTGATTTCTGCAGAGGAATCCCCTGTCCAGGGCTGAGCTCTGGGCCAGCAGGACCTGGTCAGGGAGCTGCATGGGTGTCTCCCTTCCTGTCTCCTCCAGCTTTCTAGAGATAAGGCTACACCCTGTATTGTGCTCCACTGCCTAAAAGATCTCAAATAACATGACTAGTGCTACTTACCTACAACTACAACGTCAACTGAAACCCTTAGAGTGGTGATTTTTTTTTTTCTCCTAGAGTAGAGCTCAGCTTTTATGTTTGAAGGCTCTTTCTTACTCCTCACGTGAGAGACAGAAAAAGGAGACCATTAGAACTTGAGCTTTCTATTAAGAGTTTCTGATGGGCAATGTAGACAGATACTGGAGTAGTCATTTCTTATCATTAACTTGTTTATTAGTATACCATTTATGCATTTAACAAACACTTATTGGCATTTAGAGCCTTGTTGGCACTGTTTCTTCCCAGCTTTCTCTGGTGG